GTTTTTACGCATAGATGGCAACACTTGTACTAAATCACCAATGAGCCAGTTACGAGTACCGCCCGTCTCGCCCGTTTACCCGTTTCTTTGATTTACAAAATATTTTACGTAATCTTATTTTGCTGTTACTAATGTTAAAAAAAATTATAAAAATTATAATGTTTATGATAAAAATAATACCATCGATTTTCATAGCACTAGTGAAAAATACGTTTTTCCCGCCATTTAAATCAGGTGCTAGCAGTGCCATCTATCGGCAGACATTTCACGAAAAACATAGAAAGTGGGCACAATATTTTCCTCATTTTTTGTTCATTTTCCCCGTCACCATTGGGTTAAAGACAATGAAATAATACAAAAGACACTTTCGAAAAATCATGAAAAAGGGTAAACAGGTGAGGTAGGTAGGACCAATAACTAACTCTTTGGTGACTAAGCACTTGCAGAACCATCTATGTGAGTAAATACAACAAAAAAAATTAAATCATAGTGGGCATGGCATGTATTCTTGCCATCTGTGCCAATTGGGTTAAAAGTTTATACTGTCCTTGGGTATTTACAGGTGTGGTAGTGGTTGAGGAAGGTGGAGGAGCAGTAACAGTAGAGCTTCCCGATGGATCGCAAGCTATTGTTCGCAGTGCAGTAGCTGAAGAACATCAAGGTATGAATATGGGATAAGGTTTTTTTTTATTTTCCCTTTTTTTATAAATTGATAATGGAAAGGTATTTGAGGGCTTGAATTTTTAAAAATACCTTCATCAGGTAATTAAAAAGATCTTATGCTAAGTAAAGAACTTATTCATTATGTAAAAAGATCAGCTTGATGGTAAGATATCTAATAAACAGGCTCCTTAAATGTTTCAAGATTTTAGAAATTGCAAGTATTGCTGTTTTCATAAATCTAACATTATTTATCCTTAGTGCTCTCTCTCAATCTAGGCCTACTTTTTAATATTTTATTTTAGTGTCATATATGATAATATGAAAGGAGAATGCTGCATTTGATATTTTTTGTATTATGATAGTTTTCTAGTGAAGGTAAACATTTTCATTTATTCTTTTACAAAACTGTTGTTACCACAAGTAGCTTTAAAATAATTTTGGCTGAAATAGTGAGATACATGTACTTTAGAGTGTCTGTAGTAATAATATGAATATCTTATTGGCATATGCAGTTGAGAACAGGACAGGTACAGATTTGTAGTGCTATCAAATTTGATTTTGTAGTTGTACTGCATACTCCTTTGGAAGATGGAAGCAAAATAGTATTAATCTATTTTTCTTTTGACAGAGGGTATGGAGGGAGTAGCTATACAACTTGAAGATGGGAGGATTGAATACCTCTATGGTGACACCTTTCTCCAGGCCGTGACAGACCATCAAGATCCACTTCTCGTACAAAATAATAGTGGGAAATTTAATTGCGGTTATCCAAATTGTGGGAAATCTTACTCATCACAGAATCATCTTAAAGTAAGCAATTATTTATATGGTTTCTATTATATTGTGCACACTAGATGTGTACTTTACACTAAGGATTTATAGTAAACGTATATTTCACATATTCTTGGATATGAACATTACAGAGGGAATTAGCATTATATATCGACATAGAGGTTTGACTTTTATATCAGTATAGGGAAATATACTCTCAACATTTTAAATGTTAAAGCTGAACATTTTGTAAATTATGTTTATGGTACTAATTGTTACTAACCTTGCCCTACCAGACTCACCAACGCAACCATACAGGACAAAGACCTCATGTGTGTGAGGTGTGCAAGAAATGTTTTACTACTGGATATGCTCTGAAATCACACTTGAGAACACATACAGGAGAAAAACCTTTCCAGTGCCCTGACGAGCAATGTGGAAAGTGTTTCAAGACTTCAGGAGATCTTCAGAAACATGTTCGCACACATACAGGTATTTGCTCTAGTAATAATTTGTTGTTCTTGTCGTTATTATGCTGATAATTTGAAGTCTTGATATCACTTGTTTGCCATAGATATTTCTTCTTTCTTTCTTTCTTTTTATTTTATTTATTTTTTATTTTTATTATTATTTTTTTTTTGCTATGTAATTTTCATTTGTTTATAGAAACTTTGTATACCTAATTTGATAGTATGTAGAAAAAAGAAAACAAGACAGACAAAGACAGACGATAGGACAGACAAGACAGGCAGACCAACAGACAGACAGACAAGACAGACAATAGGACAGAAATTGCATATGTACTTATATGATAAGTTCTTGGTTCCATGTTCAATACCATATGGATTCCTATTAAGGTGAAGAATCATAAAATATCAGGCACTGAGTGATTTTTTTTTAGAATAATACTGGTTTAAAAAAGAAAAAGAAAGTGGGTGTATTCTTAAGAACTTGATAGTTTAGCAGTTCATTATTTTTCAGATGTTGATCTAAATGTATAGTTATTTAGAAAAATAACCTGCCTAATTTTGCCTTTAATTCTGGATTTTTTCTTTACAAATTTTAGGAGAACGTCCTTTCAAGTGTGAAATGTGTGATAAGTCGTTTACTACATCCAATATCAGGAAAGTGCATATGAGGGTTCACACTGGTAAGGAACTTTTTTTTATTATACTTATAAGATGTGAATATATATATATATATATATATATATATATATATATATATATATATATATATATATATATATATATATATATATATGTATATGTATATGTATGTATATATGTATATGTATGTATATATGTATATGTATGTATATATGTATATGTTTGTATATATATATGTATATGTATGTATATATGTATATGTTTGTATATATATATGTATATGTATGTATATATGTATATGTATGTATATATGTATATGTATGTATATATATATGTATATGTATATATATATGTATATGTATGTATATATGTATATGTATGTATATATGTATATGTATATATATATGAATGTATATATATGTATATGTATGTATGAATATGTATATGTATGTATGAATATGTATATGTATGTATATGTATGAATGTGTATATATATGTATGAATGTATATATATTAGTATGTATATGTATATGTATGTGTGTGCATATATGTATATATATGTATATGTATGCATATGTATATAAATAAAATATATATAATATATATATATATATTATATATATTATATATATTATATATATATATGAGGAGCATGGAGGTAGAAGGAGGAAGTTATGAAATAACTCTAAATTATTTCAACACATGTTTTTTGTGTGACATTCGAAATATGCTATCTTCAGATGCCTTATATGTCACTCCAAAAGTATGTTGATCAAATACAGTAGATATGAAATGTTATGTGTTTTCTAAACTGAATGTTTCCTTGGTAGGAGAGAAACCATATGAGTGTCAGCATGAAGGATGTGGAAGAAAATTTGCCTCTGCTACAAATTACAGAAATCATTGCAGAATTCATACTGGAGAAAAACCCTATGTTTGCTCTGTTGAGGTAAGTGATGTACAGTATTGCAGTTTTGAGCAATTTTCCTGTTCATGATACATATGTGCTTTTATCTAGGATGAGTACTCATTTTGTAATATAATATTTTTTGTAATATTTTGTAATATTTTCAGAATTGTGGCAAGAGATTTACTGAATATTCTTCACTGTATAAACACCACATGGTCCATAATCAACAGAAGCGATATTATTGTGCACAGTGTGGTCGATTCTATAGGCAGCTTTCTACTTTGGCAGTCCATAAGGTAATGGATAGACAATTACTTCTGTTACTTTTTTATTAAGTGATTGTATTGGGATGAACAGTTCATAAATTATAATTTTTTCTATGCTTGATAATTTTCGTGTAATTAGAAAGCCTTCTGGTAAACTGTCTTTCTTTCTTTCTTTTTCTTTTTTTTTCTTTTTAAATGTGATGGAATTTATTCCGGCAATATATTTTTTTTGGGTATCTCAGTCTTTTATCCCGTATAAATAGGCTTCCAGATATTTTTGGGAGTTATTGAAGAATACATCAAGAGAATGAAATAGATTTTATTACGTGAATTGTTTTACACACAGCGAACAGTCCATAATGTGATTGAAAGTGATGATGGCCAAGTACTGTGGATGGGATCGGAAATAGACATGGGTCTGTTAACTGAAGACCAAGATGGAGGAGACATTACAACAGAGGAAGGGAGTTCTGTCAGTCATGTCGCAAGCACTTCATCTAATGCGAGAACTGTCCATATTCCTGTGTCTGGTGGACTTATGGTTAAGAAAGAGGTATAAAGGTTATTTTTATTATATATCTATTTATTTTCAGTGATGTATATAGTTCATAGCCTGGTGTTAGCATATTAAAAAAAAGTCTTTACATACATTTTTATTGATGGCTGCTTCTTTGGAACAGATGATTCCAGGCACAATACTGAATGCACAATTATCCTTGGATGATGGTTGCATTAGGATGCCCAGTGTAGAAGTTGGAAACCTAATAAGTGGGGATGCATCTGGTGACACTTTGATACAAGATGACCGTAGTTCGACTCTGTCAAATTTGGATATTGACAGTGCAGGAAATGGCTCCATCTTAGTCCTCACAGATCCATCACAACTAGCAGCATTGCAAGTAAGTGTTTTTTATATTTTCAATGTTGTGATTATTATTTATAGTTTTAAGAAGTTTTTCAGTTAGCATCCCTACTACACAATACTTATGATCTTTATAATCCCAGATATTTCTTTTGTACTACCCCTGAAATACAGTTTGGAAGGAGTTTACTTTTGTCTTACTTTACAATGCATTACCAATAAACCTTACTTCTGTTTCCAAATATTCCTTCCTTTCACATACTCTTGTGGTTATGCATGCCCCACTGTTGGAACTTCTAGCTTTATACATTATGCTGCATGGAATTTCCTGAATTGCTTAATGAAATTAATTTCTTCCATTTGGTATTTTCCCCAATGCTGCCGGGAAAATGTGATGTTCACTCTAGTATTGCTTTGTGAAATGTTTCTACATATAGATGGCTGCACAAGTACTCAGTCACCAAAGAGTCAATTAGTAGTGTACTTGCCCTACCTAAATTTTCTCCTTCCTCCTTCCAGAGTTTTTTCTCTCATTCTCTCTCCTAATGCAGTTAATATTGATGCTGTTATTGTTATTATTGACATTATAATTATTACAGTGTTATTAACAGTACTAATAGTAGTATAAAAGAAAATATATGTATTTCCAAAAGTCAAGGTAAAGGTTAAACAGATGAGATAAGTTGGCCTAGTGATTGGCTCTTAGGTGACTGCTTAGTCACCTATGAGCCAATTTGGATCCATCTGTATGTAATTACAAGTGGCCCTATCCATTGGGAGGGCAACTGCTGGAGCACAGGATGGAAGTGGGTTTCCCAAGGGATACCCACAGCCTGCTGCTCCATATTCATATGGGGCAATGTCGGTGTGGATCACCACCTGGAGTGAAAGCTCAAAGCAGGCTGTTTGAGTAGGAGCTTGAAATATCCAATCTTTGCAGTAGGATGATCAATCACCTCTACTATTAAGGGAAATGAAGTGGTTGAGAATTGGGGTGGCTGCCCGCTCAGTAGTGAGATTACCTGGGAGCAGCATATTCATTGTTAGTGGGTACACCTACTACTGGGTAGCCCAGAGTGATGGTCACCATCTCAAGGTGGTAGCCATAGTTATCTCTAGCCAACTCCAACCCCTGGTAGTGGAGGTTACTTCTCTTGATGAGCATTTAATAGCACTGAGATTGAAGCATACTCTTGGTTGTCTTTTATTGCTGTGAACACTCCTACCAATGCATACAAACTGTGAGTTCTACGCCAGACACATCTGAGGCAATTTTTTTCCCAGCAAGACATTCATATTGTCTTGGGAGAATTCAGTACTGTATCTAATGATTGAGTTGGCTATGAAATATCTGTTGGTCTCCATGGCTCAGGGGCTGATCCCAGTAGTGAGAATGACCCTCTTCTCTGCGACTGCTAGGTTACAGAGGTTGAGGATTTCTAGCTCCTGGTATCAGTGCTCCAACCCACATAGTGTGGCAAAGGAGATTGACCACATACTTGTTAACACTTGCTGGAGGATCCTCCTCTTTCTCTGTGGATGACCCTGCCCATCTGGTTGTCTCTTCCTGGATGGAGGAGGCCAGTGGGGCGACCTAGGAAGTCATGGATTGAACATATTGACCAGACCTACTGCAAGGAGTTAAAGATTAGGCAGAGGCTATGTGCCTTTGTTGGCATCACACATCCATTCATGCCACTCCTGGTGGCATTGGGTTAAAGTAGCTCTTATGTGATTCAGACTATGTTTACGTTTTATTTAAACCCAATTACCATTTTAAGAAATTATAGTATTCAGAATACTGTCATGAAAAAGAAGTCTGTATAGCTTCTCATCTCACTGATATTGAATTATATATTTTATATATTAATGAGTGCCATAAATTAATGTTGTTATTTATTCCTTAGCAGTTAGCAGTGGCTAGTGGAAGTACTGAGGGGAGTGGTGATCAGAACGTTGGAGACACTGTGGAAGTTATTAGATTAGATGACTTCACAGCTGTAGCAGAATCCACTATCACAGAAGACCTGGTGGAAAGTGTGGATGCTAAACAGAATGACTGGGAAAGCAAAGGAAAAATTATTGTGATTAAAGAAATAGAAACTAAAGGGAAGAAGACATGAGTATGGTGTAAACTGGTGTTTCATTTTTATGTACTAATTCAAGGGAAAGAAAGATATGCTATGGTTTTTGGAAAGTGGAATATTGAAGTGCTTTAGTGAGTTACTAGTAAAAGTTTGACAGGGTAATATGTTAATTGCAAATGACTTTAAAAAATTTAATAAATTGAGCACTTCAATATGTGTAATTTAACCTGATATAATATAGCTATAAGTTAAGAATGTTATTTATATATGGTATTTATCTGTTGATGTGTTGCATGATTAATAATGATAAATACAAAACTTGTAAGTGCTTCCTAATGTTAATCTTTTTGGTATAACAAAAAAAAAATATGAAAATATAAAACAAAAACATTACAACCAATTTTTTTTGGCAGCAGGATTAGTATTTATGGCACCAAAGACCAAGGAGGGTCTTATTTTCCCAGTAAAGTTCTCAAAATAAGCCATGTCAATTCACTTATGATACTACATCTTGAAAGGTTATAGATAATTGTTGGAGCTCTGCTCAGAGGAGTTAAGAAAGGCATTTTGGTGTCCAGTTGGTTAAGTACAGTGCAAGTTATAATTTGAAAATAAAAAAAAATCATGTTGAGTTTGGCAGGTGATGTAATTAGCCACAACACTGTGATAAGTACTGCTAATTAAATTATTACTTTTTACCAAATAATAAACAAGATTATACATGGCATCCTCAGCTTTAGTTAATGTTTTATATCCAGTTGTCATGAAAGACTTCATATTGAGTGTTTAGTAACTGGTTTCTTATTGTTGTCGAGAATACAAGTAATTCAGATTATGTATTTTTATATACCTTTTTCAAATTGGTTTGGGAATAGAGAGTAATAAAACAATTCTCAACTTTCAAAGTGAAATCATAGAAATTCCTGGATTATGGGTCTTGCAGGTTAGTAGCATAAACATAACAGTTCACTGCCAGAAATAGGGACAAATAATATTTCATATTCCATGACACGTACAAGAATCTGAGCATGCTTAATAAAATTCACATGAGCATAAAAATATCCTTATAAACTGTAATGTTTCTTATAATAAACAATCATTTTACTGGCCTTTTCATGTTTCAGGCAGTCTGTTCAATATTATGAACTTTAGCTGTTGATAGATAGAAGTTTTCAAGAAATAGTTACACCTCAAGATCTCTATGCCTCCTCACCCCACCCCACTGCTCTCCACACTTACCCCCTGTCTTCCCCTCTATACTCAGGGTATGCTCCATAGATAACTATTTTTCAAATGAAACCAGCGATCAAGAGCATTGCATGAGGAACATAGGGTTGATAATGGGATATGAAGCGAGTATAGTCTATATACAAGGGGGTAATAGCAGTTTCCCAACATCTATTCTGATGGAATGGGACTGACCAAGGGGTAACGATAAGTCAAAATTACAGGAAGGAAAGACTTCAGTGAATCCAACACCAGAGGGATTTAGACCCAACTGTAGAAATGCTAATACTGGAGGAGTGAGTAGAAACATGACTGAGAAAATGAGTGAGAAAGACAGAAAGGGAGGGGTGTCTGATTTGTGTTGATCAGGTAAAACAGTTTGCAAATACAAGGGGAAGGTATAAGGCAAGGAGGGAATTAATGGGCAGAAAAAATAAGAGATCTATGATGAGGTAAGGGTGAATGGGAGAGAAAAGCATCCAAGCAAACAGAGAAAGAAGTAGGTAGACGGAGAGGAGGTAAACAGGAAGAAAGAATTGGGGGACAGTCAGTTTGGAGAGAAAGGTGGTGGAATTGTATATAGCTCCAGAGAGAGATGAGGGCACAGCATCAAGAGAGATGGTAGGCCAGATTCAGTGGGTAGGCTCTTCATAGGAGGGTTGCAGAAGGTGCCTAGGGCTAAGCAGAGACCACAGAGATGGACTGCATCAAGATGAGCAAGAAGTGAAGCCGAGGCAGAGTAGTAGATATGGCAGCCATACTCGAGAGTGGAGAAGATCAGGGTATTATGAAAAGAGTTTTGCAATCTATACCTTAGGATATATGGGAGTCTGCCAGAGTACCTTGCCTGAAGAACCAGAGTGGAGTGGAGCATCATATAAAGGGAGTGGAGTCATTGAGAAAAAAGAATGGAGAAGGACTTGGATATAGAAAAGCAAAAGCATGGTCAGTAGCCCAAAAGGAGATTAAGGATACTGCAGATTGGATAAGTTGATGTAGAGCAGACATGGAAGGGCCAGAGAGACATTGTTGAGTCATCCACACACAAGGAGGATCAGATACATGATGGAAGTACTGAAACTAATCCGTTACAGCAATAGGGAATAATGTGGTGCTGAGCACACTGCCTTGAATTAAGGAAAAGACTTTATGAACAAACACATGTTCTGTATGCCATGAAAGGATAACTGTTTAAAAATATGGTATTGCCATGTGGTTGTATGCTTTTTCTAAGCCAAAGAAAAAGGCTAATATGGAATATGTTTCAAAATAAGCAAGGGGATCAGCTGTACTTGGGTACAGCAGCATCCAAACTGGGAGGAGATTAACCTTTATTTATATCAATTTACATAAGCAACTAGTGAAAGTATGGGATGCTAATCTTAAGAGTAGGTGCATGATTTATTGGGTTTCAAGAAGGGTAGGATAAGGATTTTAAGCCAATGGGGATGAAAGTTTCCAGTTGTCCAAATATTGTTGAAGATAGCTAGTAGGTAGGATAAGGAGGTAGGTGTCAGAGCAAATGGTAATGTATTCTGTCAAATCCTTCATGGGTATTGCAGCGGGACTTTAAGGCAGAAAAGGGGTTCGAGTAGACGAAAAGGGAGCATTTTAGGACTCTGTAGAGGATAAGGGGATGTGAATGCACCCTTTGACTGATTTTATGGAAGAGAAGTGGGGAGAAAAGTGAGAACCACTTCTGACCTGAACTGAAATAGGCACGGAGATCAGTAGTAGCTTGAAAGGAATCAGGATATTATGGATAAGAAGGACAAGGGAAGGATGAAGGGGATGTTTCCCTGACACTTTTGGATCCGATGCCAGACTACAGAAACAGGTATAGAGGATGTGATTGAAGAAACATAATTTCGCCCTCTGATTGTGATGGAGCGAAAACAAGGGGATGCTCTTTTAAATGTGATAAGGGCTGGTAATTGACTGGGGATGCCTTGTGTGAACTGTTCCATGCTGTGCACTTCAACCAAAGTGCTTTGGTGTATTCACCATGGAACACATTTGGAAGTATACGGATGGGAGGTTCAGGGAATGTGTGTAAACACAGCACACGGGACAGTGACTGTGAAGTATGCAAGTATGACTGAAGTGTAAGAGAAGGATGATGGAGGAAGAGGACGAGGGAGAGAGGAAAAAGTATGCCAGGTGTAGGAACTGTTCCCACGTGTGTTCCATGTGGGAACTGTTCCATGATGTGCGCTTCAACCAAAGTGCTTTGGTGTATTCACAGCACACGGGACAGTGACTGCGAGGTATGCAAGCGTGAGTAAAGTGAAAGAGAAGGATGATGGAGGAAGAGGACGAGTAGAGAGAGGAATGAGCATGCCAGTCAGGATGTGAGGTTTAGGAAACGGGTGTAAACACAGCACACGGGACAGTGACTGCGAATTATGCAAGCATGAGTGAAGTGTAAGAGAAGGATGATGGAGGAAGAGGACGAGTAGAGAGAGGAATGAGCATGCCAGTCAGCTCCCCCTCCCCCCATCCCCCAGCACCAATCCCTTGTTCATTGTTGTCGTGGGGTGCTTAGGAGACAGAGACTGAGGCCCAGTGTAGGGGATCACCCCTGCCTTGGACCTCAGCCCTGGCCTCTACAAATTATGTGTAGTCATTTCTTCTCCCCCTTTCCTTTTCCTTCTCTGCTTATTCCCCTTCTTCTGTCCACTTACCATCGTTAACTAATTTCTACCCTTTCCGCCACAATACTTTATCATAATGCTATACTTGAGGGCTTTGTCCCCAATCCCTTGCCCGTTGTTGTGAGGGGACTTAGGGGACAGGGACTGGGACCCAATGCAGGGGATCTCCCCTGTCTTAAGGCTCAGCCCTCAACTCAACTAATCTTGCACGGTCTTTTTACCCACCCGCTTTTTCGTGTCCATCACTTCTCCAACCTCTTCCGTCATCCATTTCCTAAGGTGTGAGATCCGTGTTGAAAGGATGATAGGCTGAGTTTGTGCCAGTCCAGAACGGCCTAGAGGAGCCATGGGCACAATATTCCCATTTAGTTGTCTAGCTCTTACCCCTCAAGGGGACCCTGAGGGGTGAATTGTTTCTTTCTCAACATACTCTAGGCTTACCATGGGCCAATAATGAAATTTTTTTATACTCTTGTTAGGGGCAATGAGGCTTGCCCCTTCATCAAATAGCCCCACCGACTCCAACTCTCCCAGTTCCCCGACCCCAGGCTCTCCTTTAACTATGACTGAACACTGTAACTACTACCCCCTCCACAATGCCTACTAGTACATTATCCACCCAAGTCAACACTCAACCTCCAGGAGACATTCTTACTCTCCCAACATTCTCAATTCCATCCCCTCTACCCCCACAACAATCTTCATCAGCCACCCCATTCTCCTTTAATACTTACTTTACAGGCTTATTTTCCACCTCTTTCAACACTACTCCCTCTTCCACAAGTGTCCGTACTCCCATCTCTACAAATATCTTAAATTCTTTATTTAGCCCGGCCAAAAGGGATCAATTTTTCGTGGTCCGCTCACAGTTTCTTATGCTGACATCACTCTTATCTTCCAGTCTCCAAAAATAAGTAGGCAAACTATCTTTCCGCAGCCAAGTTGTAGCATTATTCACCCTAACTACATACATTGTGATTTGCTGATCTCTCTGGCAACCCCATTCCCGCAGAACCTCCTCCAACTCTCAATACTTGAATTATTCGCCTGCCTTACTGACTTTGATGTGATATCAGTACAGTTCTACTTCATTTCTTCTAGAGACCATCGTAAGAACCCCACCAACATTGCCAAAATTACTTTACGTAGACATGGCCTCCCCTTTAATGTTTACATTGGTGGAGAATCCCTCCCTGTCCGACCATATCAACCTTCTCCTCGTCAGTGGAGGAGGTTGCCCTCTATGTGCCCAACATGGTCATAACCGATCAAACTTCTCTGCACAATCACACACATGTACCAACTGTGACGGCCCCCATAATGTATTTTATAAGGGCTGTCCCACCAACTTCAGACATGGTCTCACTCTGCGTGAAGCCAGACAGAAAGTACGTCGACGATTTTTTTCTCTCACTCCCTACTTCAGTAATAGCGCTCCCCCAGTCAAATCTTTTGCCATCCTAAATCCACACTCCAACCTCTACTACAGCTCCAACACCTCCCCCTCTCCTTCCCCGCACTACCCGCAGCAGATAGACTAAACGTTCCTCTCCAGTTTTCTTCCCCCCCCTCATTAGAAAACTTTCCGTCTCTCATATCCTTTCTTCTTATAACCATCCATTATCTGTCTCCAAGAGACTTTTACAATTTCCCAACTCCAGCCACCTTTCCTCGTAGTTGGTGATTTAAACTGCCGCCACACTTTTTGGGGTGATTCTATCACAACTTCCCGTGGCCAATCACTAGAACGCATCTTTTCCATAACGGACCTTATTATTCTTAATTCAGATCGCCCCACATACTTTGACATGTGTACGCAATCTTTACCATGCCTTGACTCTATGCTTCCCTTCTCTCCATTTAGATTTCCACTGGTCAGTTCTTGACCACTTTCCAGTACTTTCTCATACTTCATATATACCACTTCCTAATCCCCCACGCTGGTGCTTTA